GAAATTGGTTGTTAAAATTAGATTTAAATTTGTATAAAAATTCGTTTAATGAAAAAGTCATATGTTTCAATTCAAATACTCAGACTGATCTAGTACATTAATTTTTATTTTATATTTTTTATACTACTTGTAATAATTCTCTCTCTCCTCAATCTATTTCACCTTATTTTATTGGTTAAACATTAAATTTATGAATATTTATGAAATTACTAGTACTGTTAATTGTATATTCTGTTTGGACAAATTTTTGTTGTCTTATTTTTTTTAAATAGGCTAAATAGATTTTTATTTTTTATAAATAAATCAAGCCACGGGCTAATAATTATATTCATAACAGATAATAGATTTAGTCAAACTAACATATTTAAACACATACTTAACTTTTTAATTTTTTAAGAAATTTTGACTCGACTCGTTAACACTTTCTAATCATAGGCCAATTAATTGGCTCATGAGTCATTATTTCATATATGACATGCGCATGAGTCAACGTTTTTATCTGCTCCTTAAAAAAAGGAACTTCCTGTGGTGCCAGCAGTCCTCAACTTGATAAATGACAACAAGGGATGCATAAAGTAGCTGGAGAAAAATAAGGTGTAAATTTGCCTGTGAGCTCAAATCAAATGCATTTATTTTTTGGGTTTGATTTTCTCATGTTAAATGAGAATTCAATTTTTATGTTGTAAAGATAAAAAGTATGTGGGACCCATGTGTTAAAAAAATTATATGTAGGACTCATGTCAGCATGAAAATCGAAGGGTGTGTAAGAAAATTTGAATTCTCGTGTTAAATGAAAATTATAAAACCCTTTATTTTTTTCAGATAAGTACAGGGATAAAAATCCCAGTCCAGAAAATTACTCTCCTCATAAATTTCCTGTTTCATTTAGCTGATAGAACAATGTGGTTCTTGCAAATTTAATAAATGATGAAGATCATAGACATCTCTCATTCGAATATGGAAAGCAAGAAAAGATCACAATCATATCCATCCCAACAAAGCAATAGCAAGGAGCCAAGGATTGATAATGTATAGGATGATCTTAATGATCACAAGGAGCAATATTATGAGCCAATCATTCATGTGTGTGTCCTTGCAACTGCTTATACTGAGAGATATAAAATCTGAGTCTTCACCTAAAATGGGCAATTATCCCTTCTTAGGTTTATATAAATTTTTAATTTTGAACACTTATTTTTCATATAGTTAGTAACTGTCCTTCAAAATTTATGGAAATCCTTAGTTGTGAATATCTTTTTTATTTTTTTTAGTCATATAAATATCGGGGTAATTTCAAAGAAACATATTATTGTAATTATGTCTCCCTCAAAAAAAAAAAACTGACTCCACCATTTCTCGGATAGTAGCTAACTCAAAAACAAAATTCAATCAACCATGCATGAATACTATAATTCCGGAACTGTATCTTTAATGAAAAGGACTGCTTGGTTAATTTCTCTGGTGAAAATCACTAGTGTCTAAGCATGTGCACGTGTGTTAATTTGCTTGTGTATTCAGATGCCGATGTCATTATATGTGAAAGACTCACTCACTCAAACCCCTCATTTCGCAATTGAGTTTTTAAAGATTTGATTGGATCAGGGTTTAAATCTTATTTCAACTAAATTTTTGAAAAAAAATTGGGGATCAAAGGACATGTCTCTCTCTTTGAAAGGGGATTAGTCTCATTCTTCCTCTGTAACGAAGCTCAATGCACTTCTAATGAGAGGGAGCCTTTCGAGCCGTACTCCGAGGACAAGGTGACCGAAAGAGGTTGAATGAGGATACTCTTCAGATTATACCAAAAAAAAAGACTCACTCCTCCTAAACTAAAGTTAATTCTCTTTAGTATTATTTTTGGAAGAGATTTAAAGTTTTAATTCCGACAGGGGTATGAATATATGAGTATGACCAAGTGTTCAATTTTTTTTAGTATTATTTTTGGAAGAGATTCAAAGTCTTAATCCATGTCAGATTAATTGCGAAGCAATGAACCGATTAAAAATTAAAAAAAAAAAAAAGTTAAAGTTGTTACGTGAAGGGTTGAGCATGATCTTTATTTTATTTCTAAATTAACATTGCACAAATAATGCATTTACCCGTTATTTGATATGATATACAATGACAAGATCAACCCAATGGAAAGAAGCAAAGCTGAGAATTATGGTTTCTTTAACAGGGAAAGAATCAAAGATAATTGGTTTGTCTATCCTTTGTAGTGATATATAGTAAATTCTCACATTATTGAGGTAGGTGCTAGCTTATTTGTTCTAGACTAAATTAGGGTTTAAATTAAGGTAAATGATTTTGACAGGAAGCAGCAGATTTATGTTTTAAAGTTAATAGGTTTAATATACTAATGATGCTAACAAATTTGGCCTATTACGCAGAATGTGATTTTATAACTAAATAACAAAAACGAAAATCTCATTAGACAATATATAATGTGATGCTTCCTGAAAGGAAGCAAGGGCCAAAGTCTAAAGTAACATGGAAGAGAATTTTTTTTTTTTTTTTTTTCTAAGAAAGTATCAAGGAACTGCCTCATGTGGTACCCATTTAGGCCATCAAAATAGTAACACACACTATTGCTTATCCAATTCTAAAATAACCACACAATGTGACAAAGTAAGACCTTAACATTTACTACAACTTTACTGTATGCTTTCTTTAAAGGCTCCTAATCCCTAGAAACCTTTCTTATTATACAATACCAAAGTGTACCTGAGGGCTGATATTAGGTAAACACTATCATCAGCACCTTTTAAACAAATCCCTTGGTCATGCGAACCGTATCTATAAACTTTGAGATTCTGGTACATGAAAAGAACTTGTACACAAATCTAAATATTCAATATCAAGAAGTAAATATACAAGAGTGTGTCAATGGCATTAATTGCTCTGCTTAAACCATTTATTTTGTAACAGTACAATCACAATCACAATCACATAGGATTCCGATATACTGCCCCTTAAGTATTTTCTCTTTTAATAATCTGAGGAGAATTATGAGGGACTTGACCTTGGCTCTAGTGTACAAGGCTCAAGCAAAGGTGGGGCATAGAAGAAGATTAAAGCATGAAGAAAAGGCTCTTGGGGAAAATAAGGTTGGAAGGGATTTGTCACAGTCAATACACTTGTGCAGCATCTTATTAGCCGTTAAAAAGATTTTCCTTTGTGTTGTACAGCTTTTGGCTACTTTACGAGACATTTTGAAACATGTATGGTTCTATGCGCTTGTGTTTTGTGTATCAGACTTAGTGGAGAAAAACTATTGAGTGAAAACATAGAGCCTCAAGAAAGGAATAGAATGAATCCTCTTATATATCATAGGCAAGTTTATTAACAATGACTATAGAAAAAAAAAGTAAGAGTTAATTTATTTATTGACAGTTAAAATCATATAATATAATATAATCATATTAAATGAAACATGATACATGATTCCCATTGAGGAAAAGAGAGGGGTAAGAAGTTGCAAACCAGATTGAGAAAAGAGCAAGAAGGCCCTTGACATTTTTCCAATTAAATCTTGGATTAACTTTTTTTTTTTTCCTTAAAAATTAAACGGATCCTAACATGCAAACTGTTTCTCATTTGATTTACTGTTTTGGGGGTACAAGGGTAAGACGGCAAAGTAAGGAAACAAATATAATTTGTGACATATGAAAGAATGAATCAGAAAAGACTTCGGAAGATTGTGTGTAGAGCAGTGCACGGCAATGTTACTCAAGTACACTACATAGGGAGGGGATGCGCAATTTCATTAAAATTTGTTACCTTTGGCAACTAACTCTAGAAGAAACATTTTGCTGCAAAAAATTTAATTTCAGCAGCCATGTGAGTGTGCCCAGAAATAGCAGTTTCATATAAGTGAATGATTAAGTAAAATAAACTTGGTCATAAATATATTAGGTAGTAAGACTAAGTTATCTGGTTATTCCAGCTCGAAGATGATTGTCTCAGGTTAAACATACATATGGTTTATAAAAAAAAATAGTAAGACTAAGCCATTTTTTTGTTGAATATCAATCTAATTATTTCTTTGAAACAAATAAACTTCTCACAAACTTTGGTTCTTTAAATCGATTATGAAACTAATTCCAAATACACGATTAATCCAAAATTAAGATATTATACCCGTCCAATGGTCGTATATATATTAAGTAGTAAAACTAAGCCTTTTTTTGTTGGATACCAATTATAATTATCTCTTTAAGACGAGTAGGTTCTTTTAAATATTCTCACAAACTTCAATTTTTTGAACAAACGATTGATCTAATCATTACGTCCTTGCTAAATGTGGTATTAGTCGTAAATATATTAGGTAGTAAGACTAAACCCTTTTATTCTGATCATACTAAATTAACGGAACATTTAGGTATCCAGCTGGTTAAGTAACAAAAATTTGAAGCAACGTAGCTCAAAAATGAAAACTAGAAGACACTGCACAGAACTACACATTCTTCAAAAGGTTAAAAACTGCACTAGAATCGTCACAATACAAAGTGTTAACGCTGCACAAAGAAGCACGCAAACCCAAAACAACACGTTGGCTGGCTCAACTGCAAACTCTCACTCTCCATATTGAAATACTATCATTGGAAAGCTCATGATTCGACCAACAAATTCTGTATACTAAAATACTCAAAATATTTTAAAGCTTCTCATTAATCAAAAACAGAACTAAAAAAAAACTACATAGCCTCTAAATCAAAATAAACAAAAAAAAAAAAAAATACTACTCAAGAGTGCGTTCTAACTTCTAACTTCCTACTTATCATTTTTTTTTTTTTTTCATTTATACACAAGTCCTCATTTCTTCACCTAGAAAAGAAACAAGAGAGAGGAATCATCAGAATTCAGAACCAAGTACAAATACATAAATAAACCCCAGAAGAAAAACCCTTCAAACTCAACATCTTCTTCCATTTTGTGTTCCTCGGTGTTTAACTTAAAACCTCTCTCACTCTCTAAAATCTTCTTCTTTGTTAGTTGAATCAAATAGCTTTTTCAACATGGCACTTGAACACGGTTTCCAAATCAGGAGGTGTGAAGAACTCTCTAACACCAACCACCATGTTGTTACTACACCTTGAAGGTCGGCGCTTCCTCGGCGCCGCCGGGCACGACAACTTTTCCGGTATCCTAGACTCTTTCGCCGTCGGCGTCGTTGAACGTGCTTCTTCATCGTAGTCACCGTCGTCGTTGTTATCTTTCGCCCTTGTCTTTATCGGCTTCAGAGACCGAACCGCGATTCCAGCAATTACCCATTTCTTTGATTCTGATTCCAAACCAGTCTCTGCTTGCGTCTTCTTCGAAAACCCCATGATGGAATCGAGTGAAAGGTTTAAGCTTTTGCTCCTGGGTTGATCAAAACAGCGGAGAGGGAAAGTGGGTGTGGATCAGAATTGAAAAAGATCGAGTTTTTGAATGAAGGGACACAAAGGGAAGTTGAAAAGAGTGGTTTTTTGTTTTTGGGGTGGTGAGAATCAGAACAAATGAGAAGAAAGAAAAAATGGATGCGAGAGAATCAGAGGAATGAGGAGGAATAAGAGAAAAGGGTTATCTTAGAGAGAGAGAGAGAGAGAGAGAGAGAGAGAGGAGGGAAAGGTTTGAACTTTGAAGGAATGAAGGAATGAACGAAGGAGAAAAAATAAAAAGGAGTTGTTTTGAGTTTGAGTTTTCGTGGGAAAATAGAAATCAATTTTCCGAGAAAGAAAGAAGGAAAGAAAAAACAGAGAGAGAGAGAAAGGGGTGCCCGTGATTTTACGGGCAGCCCAAAGGGATTGAAGGCGAATTTTGGCGCCAAAATTTCATTGGTTTGGGAAGCAACGGCTCTTTTTCCCGCCTTTGGTTTATTCATTGAAATTCCGATTTTACCCTTTCTTGTTGATTTTTCATTTATTAATTAAATAATTTCTAGGGAGTGATGTTGGTGCAGACAGTGTGGGCACGATGACCGGCGTGACAGAGAGTCATGCGATGCGACGTCGTTTCGGTAATTGATGACGTGTCCTTTTAAATCTGAACATCACCCTGGTGGGTCCCCTTTATTAATAATTGAATAATATCACTGAATAGTGAAATGTACGTACACACGTGCCTTTCAACGAGGGGATTCATCAATCACAAAATTCAACTAAAAAAATCTCATGTAAAAATAAAAAATAAATTTGAACGAAAAAAAAATTATTTTTATTACAGATAAAAATTTTCTGCTACAATCATATAAAAATAAATGAATCTTACTAGTTTTTTCTTTCTCTTTTCTTTAGGTAGTGTTTGGTTGAAGGTTTATTTTAAGATTGATGGAAAAGTGTAGGTGAATATTAGAAAATATTACGTTTGGTTCAGGTTTTTTCAAGAAATACCAGACAAATAGGATAGATGGGAAAATGATTTTTGGATGAAATTCAGTGTTACAGAATACCACTTGAGATGTGGTATTTTGAGATGAATGGGGAAGTGAAAAAACAGGTGCAAAGTTTCTCCCGAACATAGATTTTGCATATTTAAATAAATTTTCCTGATAATATTTGGGTCAACCAAACAATTTTTTTTACATTTTCCTATCAAACTCATTTTCCAACCATTTTCCTATCAATTACATTTCCCTAGTAAAAAAAAATTTCTCCCGAACCAAACACTACCTTATAATAAAACTTATTTACTTTTTATATGAATATTCTAGATAAATTTTTTCTGCAATAAAAAAATAGAAATATTAAATCCATTTTGAATTCATAAATGTTTTACTGCTTTTAGAGTTTGTAAAAAAAAAAAAATTATAATGTGATTGATGGAGTTAATATTTACTGTTGTGAAATTTTTAAAACAAGGAAAGGTAGGAGGCAAGACATGCTTCCACCAAGATAATCAACTAAAGTATAATTAACATAGAGTTTTATAACAATTACGGTTATAGGAAAAGTGATTATGTAATGTTATAGAGATTTATTTTGTATGTCGTAGTTTTTTTTTCTTTTGCTTCAAAAAATATAGGTCCCACAAAATATTGTGTGTGTAGAAAACTTACTTGTGTCATGTGAAATGATAAATGCAAATTTCATTGACATATAAAGAAAGGGTTTTATAATTCTCATTCAACATGAGAATTAAAATTTTCCTACACACCCTTCGATTTCCGTGCTGATATGGGTCCTACATATAATTTTTTCTAACACATGGGTCCCACATGCTTTTTATCTCTACAACATGAGAATTGAATTCTCATTCAACATGAGAAAATCAAACCCCATAAAAAAATCATCATTGAGGTACAAGCAACGGATCAAAAAATAATTAAAAACCCATTTATATGGATGGGATCTTTGGTATTATGAGAAAGGATTGGGTTCTAAAGAATATCAACTGAAAGAGGATCAAATCATACTAGTTGAATTATTTATTGAAAAATCATAGCATGTACATAATGTATATATACATATTTAATTGTTCTCCTGACTAATTTTAATCATAAATAAAATTTATGTAGAAACTAACTCGTTATTTTAATCTTTTTTATATGGAAAATTAAGCGGATAATCATTATCCTAAGTCAAATAATATATGTTCGATTTTCGGCTTTGGGAATATTATGACCCAATTTTTCCCACAGCATACTGATAAAAGCCACAAACTAATACAGTTTCAGCTGTGGATATAGAAATATTAATTAATGTAAAAATAATATAAATATATAATAAAAATATCACAGATTCTTTTTACAGTTTCATCATATAATTATTAATTTGGACATTTTGAGTTCAACAAAGAATATTTTTTCGTGAAATTTGTCTATATTATATGGCATTTGAATTTTTTTGTATTCTTTGTATGTTGATGAGGGATAAACATATAAAAACAATTATAGTAGGACCTATGTCATTATTTATGTAAGGTACAATAAACTTTTATCTGCGTCTTCCTCTCTGAGGACATGAGAGACAAAATTGAGAAAAGAAACATGAAATAATCCAAATCTATTTTATAGTTGTTATATCTCATGTAATGTATATATTTAGGTACGTGTACAAATGTCCTTAGGTCGAAGGGGATAAAACATAATAATAGCTCAAATATATAGATGATTAGCATGTTGTTCATTATTCAACTACAATCAAAACAAAATTGAAGTACTTCATAAAGGTCACGTTTCAACAAACTTCATATAGTGCTTAGATTAAGCCAGAGTCTACCATAGACGAATCTAGATACTCTCATGTTAAAAAATATATAAAATGGTCATGTCGGGAATTATAATTCATAACTATACAAAGGTGGATCAATGATATTAAATAAAAGAGAAAAAATAAATTAAAATAGACAGTGGCAGAGCCACATGTTACCTGGGGTGACCTCAGCTTGGGCTAAATTTTAACAAATTGTACTTATCATGTATAATTATATAATTAATTATAATTTGATCCAGTCTAAAATTGTAATTTGGCCCTATCAAAAAAAATATATATATATTTGGTGAGATATTTGGGTAAATTGTATTAAGTTATAGGGTTTTCATTTAATCATTTAACATAACACAACAAACTTTCCTACACTCACAACATTTTGTGGGCCCACACTTTTTAAAACAAAAAAATAAATAAAAAATTAAGGCACGCAAAACGAATCTCTATAACATTACACAATCACTTTTCCTACAACATAACTCTTATAAAACTCTAAGTTATATGTTTCATTTTCACTTATATAAAAAAATTTAAATATATTTAATAAAATTAAAAAATATTGAATAAAATTATAACTCTTTTTTATACTGTCTGTTCAGGTGTTTTGTATTTAATATAATTTATTATGATATGAACTAATTAAAATTAAGAAAAATAAATACACATATAATTTTTTTGGCTCAGACTGTAATTGGAGCCTATTCCGCCGCTGAAAATAAATAATTACAAAATTATAACCGTTAATTCATTTTTAATTTGTATAATTATAATCTGTTCACGTAACCATGTCATATTTTTTTTCCACATCATTACAAATTCAAGATGCAGAACCTCTCAAATAAACAGTGCCAAAGACAATGAAGGAGGAGATGAATGCGGAAATATAAGTCCACTGATTACTATATATCGTGATTAAAGGCTCAAAAAGACACCCCATGTTAAAGTTGAAAACATGAAATACTATACCACAACATCCCTTCATGGTTTTGGGTCAAAGATCAAGCATTCAATATTCTAAGTGAATAGCCCCACATGTTTTAGTATGAATCGAATTTTTTTTGGAAATAAGTATGAATCGAATTGAAAGTTCTTATTCTCTGTTTGATATTTTGATAAACTATCCCCCACAATCCACATAATTGGTTTAATTAGGTGCTCTACCTGGAGTCCAATAAGACATAGACTTGGTGCACCGATATATTGGCGGTGACCTTGGACGTATGTATACACGCATGTGTCAAGAATAGTACAACACAATGGTATTCCTTGTTATTTGTGCGATACTAATAGTACATTCTTTCACTACCTTTATCTATTATGTAGTTATTTCCTTTCATAATTAATTTTATTTTTTTTAATAAAGAAGTACCTACTCACGTTGTGCCAAAAAAATATGCTCGTATATAATATGATAGAATCAATGATGTAGGATAAACCAAGTTATTTTGGAACAGCTGTCGCGCCTCAAAGCATTTCGAAGATGAGCATCTAACTCTAGTTTCAATGGCACTTCATCTCTAGCTAACCACGACTTAACAATTTATAGTAGTGAATCAATTAATGTTATTAAAACCGGCTCGGTTATTGACTCGGTCGAGGTACTGGGTTATTGGATCACTGGTTCAACCGCATGACCTGGTAATTATATGTAATTTTATAATTTATATTAAAAAATTATAAACATATTCAAATATCTAAGCAAAAATGACAAAAAATTCAAATATTTTAATATAAAAAATGATAAATCACATATTATTATACAATAAATGATCAAACAAAAATATAATGATCGTGATATGGGGCTTTAGGTTCAGAAAATGACATCTCTAATTATAAATCAAATGAAATTTTTTTGCATAGTGCATAATTGAGATAACAGTAGTGTTGTAGCCTTGTAGGTACATAAACTATGTAAGTCAATAAGCAAAAAATATATTAAATATGTCCATTATGATTTTTTTTTTAGACCGAGCCGGGTCACCGGTTAACCGACCGGGTCACCGATTTTCATGAAAACCGACCGAGTCGGACCGGGTCGCACCGGTTTTGAAGCATGGCCGGTCCGTTGCTTGAACCGAACTGGTTATATGACCGATTTACCGATTCACAGGTCGACCCGGGCGAATCGGTTCGGGTTTAATAACACTGGAATCAATACATGACTTTAATAAAAAAAACGAATCTTTGACTATTCCAATTTAATCAATTGTATTGATTTTTGAGTATGTAATTATTGTGGCCAATCCAGTTAGTTGGCCCAAGAATAGTGATTTAGTATAGTATGTGGCACCAAATAATTGATAATTTAGTTGGCGTATGAGAGTTGAGCAAATGAGAGTGAGAGTATGTGTTTGATTTTTTTCAGTATCATCTTTGGAGAGTTTAAAGCCTTAATTCTAGACTCACTCCAAACAGGATTGCCTCCAATAAAAAATACATGTGGTTTATAAATAAAAAATAAAAAATCAAGTATCGTCGGCCCATAATTGTGTTGTCACTAAGGGTATCCCAACATACGAGAATATCCCAACGTAAGAGGGTATCTCAACGTAAGACAAATATCCCAATGTAAGATGCATAACGTCTTATTACACGACCCTTCCACATTAGGCATTACATGTTGACAATGGCTACAGGATGCCATGCCCCAACAAGGCTAGGCTACAGTGGCTTAGCTCTGTTTCCGTTGACTTACATCTCTCTCTCAAGCTTAAGGAGCTTGACCCAGCCTATAAATACCTCATTTTTCATCTATTGACGCACACATACTATCCACTTATTATATGAGTTGTTACTTAATTAGTATAGAGAGCCATCGTAACCATTATACACCATCCCCCTTTCTTTGTAGCACTTGGAAAACTTTTGTATAGCCTTAGTCCAAACCATTGTTGTTAAGGGTATACCCCTAAAGTGATATACTTCACCCACCCATTGAGGGATATACATGTGGTCCTCTAATACAAAGAACAACTCAGTAATTATGTTAAAAATTTAGTTAGGAGAATTTTATTGTTCTTGTAGTAATGTCCAACTCGAATTAGATTAATTACGTAATTGATAAATCAATGAAGAAATAAGATATGAGATTAGTGTTTTCCATGTTATAGGAGTAAAATTATCTTCTACGCATAGATATATGCGGGATCCAACTAAGATCATGTGAAGAGAATAGAGGAAAAAAAATAGGCCCTACATACTTTAAGTGTGCGTAGAAGATAAAATTATATTCTACAACGTGAAAAATATTAATCCCATAATATATATATATATATATATATATATTTTGTAAAATTAAATATTTTATCAAAGATAAAATCCCTACAAATAAGAAAAGTTATAATATCCTAAATAACTTAATTATTATCAATTTCATACATTAAAAATAACACAATTAATCCAAATGTATTATACATCAATAAAAAAAATCTGCAAATTAGTGATTATGAAGCGACTTGAGTAGATTTTTCTTTTCATTTTTATTAGAATTTCGATAAACAGGATACTTAGTTTTATTTAATCCTACACTATCCAATTTCAATAACGTTAACCTCAGGAGTTAAGACCTTCAATTTGAGTACCCATTCAGCCATAAAATCGTTCTTTTGGGCCAAGTTGTCATATGGTCTTAGTAACATTGCCAATGAATGGATATCTCAGAATATTCATAGCCCAACAACATTGACACCCAGAAATAATAATCAGTTCCAATCTTATTCTTCCATCTCACAAGAATATCCAATTTAGAGGTCAAACTATAATGTAAAATTATTGTCTCATTTTACATGAGATAACTATCTCATGCTACTTTTATATAAAATATTGTGTCATTTTTTTTATTTTTTTAATGAGTGGTGGATTCCACCACATCATGTATCTATGATGTGAGATACTTATCTTTAATAACATGAGAGAAATAGAACCCAATTATAATACACAGTAATTTCATTTACCAAAAAATTTAAAGATCAACACGCTTTTATTCACAGAGCACAATGCCTTACAAGGATACAAAGATAGTACATGATGTTTTGTTCATATTACTGGCACTTCCTAGTTACAATGAAAAGTGACAGAAAATATATGACCCTAATGAGTAAAGAAAATGTTTTACTCACATAAATGACAGTAATATCATCTGAACTAAAATGGGAATGACATAAGGGACTAAAAAGATTTGAAGCAAGAAACTAAATTGTAGATTAAACAAGCTTGTAGTAACAGTTGTTTCCAGATAGAAGAATCTGATAGCCTTTGCTACAAGGACACTTGAAACATATGCTTAGGCACTTATCAGCCCATTCTAGACTCACAGCTTCTTCTTCACCTCCTCCACACTTATCCTGAAACATTATAACATTTGCATTAAACCAAACCCAAATACACCAAAATTTGCTTAATTTTTAGTGAAACTACAAATCCATAAAAAAGAAAGAAAGAGTGGTAATAAAATTTTCTTGAAAACCAAACCAAATCACTCCCAGTTAAACCCGATTAGCGAGTGTGGGTGGAAGAAATCTTTAGATGCAGCCTTAATCTTGCATAATTGCAAAGTGTCTCTGGATTCGAACCCATGACCTTTCATTTCTTGAAAACCAAACAAGAAGCTAAAAAAAAGAAATCTTATCAAGATGAAATTCACACCTTAGATAGGACTTTATCACCTTCAGCTCCTTCAGGTTCATCTTCTTCATCCTCATGCCTCATTCCTTCATCCCACCATTTTCTCATCTCTCTCATACATTCCTTCATTCTTCTCATTCTCTGCAACCACCAAAACAAGAACAAGAAGCCATTTATATATATTTTCAAAAAACCACATGCTAAACAAACTCAAGAAACCTTTTTTTATATACCATTGAATCAGAAGCTTCTTCCTTGGTCAAAATCATTCCCTTATTAGTTCCCCATTGAGAGGAAGGGGAAAAGGTTCTAGCAGGTGAATTAGGATTAGGATCACAAACATAACCTTTAACACTATGAGGAGGCAGAGGACTCAAACTAGAAGCTCTAGTAACAGCGTTTGCATGGTCCTCAGGGGAATGAAACGTGGTGGCTGCATGGCATAATGGCTTTGTGTTCTGAGGGAACAAAATGGTAGAGAAACCATTGAGGTTGGTGGTGAGGTCTTGTTGCTCACGGAAAACCTTCTTGGTTGCTCGGTGTTCTGTGGTGGCAGCACCACCACCACCATAAGAAGGGTCTTCAAGCGTGGCAATGGCAGAGGATGAGGGTGATCTTCGCTTCATGTTGTTGTTAAAGCAAGAAGAACATACAGGGGTGGTGAACGGTGGTTGGTAGAGGAGGTTGGTGGCGGGGTTCATTGAGTGTTGTTGGAGTTGTTGCTCCTCTTGTTGTTCTTGATTCTGATTTTCCATTCTTGAAAGGTTTTCTTGAGCTTTTTCTTTTTCTGATTGGTTTCTATGAGAATGAATGATTGAATGTGATTACGTGAAAGTGAAAAGAATGCTTTATATGTTGTTCAAATGCATGGCACATAATGTGGCAGAATGAAAAAAAGAAAAAAGAAAAAGATTCACAGCATGAAACTGTTTTGTTTTGCACATTTGTTTAGGCTAGTAAACTTTTGAAATGAAAAAAAGTTTAATTGTAATGTATATTATAAAATTATGACGTAACATTCAATGTAAATAATTTAAAAATAGTAAAAAAAATTCAAAAATACCCCCCATGTTTTTTTTTTCGTATTACTTGTTTTTTCTATTATTTTTTTTTTATCCAAATCCACATTTAATATCATTAGTAATTGAATTAACTTACCCATTTTATCTTTGTTTTATCAACATCAAAAGCACTAATATATCATTCAAATTTTGGCCAAAATCACAAAATCATCAAAGGCAATTTGTTGTCGGTAACCAAATTATATGTCAGATTAGCAATTTTTTATACAAGTAAATTAGGATAAATTATGTATAAAAAAATAGGGATAAAATGAATAAATTAATTTATTACTAACCGTATTAAAAGTGATTTTGGATGAAAAAAAATATAAGAAAAATAAATAATAAGAAAAGAATATAGGAGGGGAAATTTTTGAATTTTTTGTAAAAAAAAAGTTAATAGATTAATAAGCTGAGAGCTGTTAAAAAATTTGTTCATGTTGCATTGGGTGCCTTTTTTAAAAGTTAATAGATTAAGAAAATGGATCATCTCATGTGTAATTTAACATGATTATGTCATGTGGAAAGATCTAAATCATTAATAATTAAATCAACGATGATGATTGTGTAATTTCCTATCCTTATATTTTTTTTCTCTCCTCTTTATCACCGTTAACTCACCCATGTATGGTTATGATTGTCTCACATGACATGGTCATGTTAATTAGCACATGAGAGAATCCACTCCCAAAGATTAATGAGCTCTGCAGATTGGTTATCTGAATATCCACTTAATTATGTCGTAGAGAATAATCTGTGTAATTTTAGTTCCCCTCCTCTTATATTTTGCCATTGTATTTGACAGATTTTTCTTTGGTCTGTAATTTGCGTAGGGTTGTTCTGACTTGAGTTTGTTCTTTGGGTTTTTTTTTTTCAACTATTGTTTACAAAAAAAAAAAAATTGTATTTTTTATAAAAATTAATCTAAACCAGGGACGCTATCAGCAAATAAAAAAGTATATATATTTATATTTTCTTACACGAATTTATTGATATTATTTTCCCGCCACTTATTTCATGGCGCCAAACGTTTCGTTCCAAAATATAAATTCATTTTTTTCAGTATCAAAGTCAAATCCCTAATTTCCATTCATCTTCTTCTTCTGTTTCTCTCAACTCTCAATGGACATTCCCAAACCCCAATCCCTCTTCAACCACATTGCCTCCAGGGAGCTCAATGCCTATCGAGGTTTCTCTCTCTCTCTCTCTCTCTCTCTCTCTTTACTTTACTGAACAACTTCGTTTTCTAACTGTGTTTCTCTGTTTTTTTTTTTTTTTTTTGGTGTGGTTCGTTGTTACAGTTAGGAAAAGGCCTTACATGGATGGATTGGTCTCTGGCTTCAGCGAAATCGGAGCTATGGCCGTACAACACAATGCCGAAGACACTGTTCCCCTCTCTCTCTCCTTCTGTAAGGTACTCAAACCAAACCTGCTCAAGCTTCGATTTTGAGCACACCCCTTTGTTTTCCTCGCAAAAACATTACATGGGCAAACCCTGATTTTTTTTTTTTGGGTTAAATTTTTTCTTGCAGACCTCCAAATTCTCTCACATTCTAGCTTTATCTGATGAAGGTGGATACCTGAGCTTGTTCGATACTCGCATCAACTTCCCAGATTCCGCAACCTTTGAACAAAACGGAGGTTTGTTTTTGTTTTTCTATTTTTCTATTTTTTCTATTTTTTTAAATTTAATTATGAAATAAATAGAGATCACATAATTTCATGGGTTGTTATTTACTTACGTGGAGTTTTTCCATCTTTCAATCTCAGAGAAAGCAAAGATTTGCGATTGGGTTTCTCATTGTAATGCTGTTTTTGATGTTTGTTGGATTAAGGTAAGCCACAGTTTTGTAATATATTCAATATTTTTTTTTTAATATCGTTGAAATTATTCCTTTGATGAATTGTCATTGATTTGAATTATTTATTTCCTTTTGTCTTAAATATGATTTATAATTCTTTGCAGGAAGATACCCAGATTCTCACAGCTTCTGGTGATCAAACAGTAAGTAATTATATGATGGATATCAATTTACTATGGCTAGCTTAAACAATAATTTGAATGATTTTAGTACATTGTTCCTCTGAAGCTGTCTTGCTAGATTTTGAGTCAAAAGCACTGCATTTTTATTCACACAACATTGGTTGATTATTAGCATACGATTTACATGGCACCCAACAGTAGTTATTTGCTTTTAAATTGCAGAACGTGCAGGCCTGATTTATCTGAAATCAAGTCAATAGATACCAATTTCATGTCATTGAATCTGAGTTGAATAAGTTTTCATAATCTTTTAACTAGTTATAGTATATCTTATTAGTAGTTTCCTACAGGCTAATTTTATTTTAAATGTTCTTATGCTGCACATTTACAGATGAAGGTATGGGATGTTCAAGAAAAGAAGTGTCTTGGAGTGTTGGCGGGGCACCATGGAAGTGTGAAATCCATATGTTCTCATCCAACTAATAATGGTAATATTTGAATTTATCTGCAACTCTGGATTTTCTCCAACTGCAAAGTGATATATTAACAATTAATATTCCTTTTATCTCCAAATTTACAGATATTGTTGTCTCCGGTTCAAGGGATGGATCCTTTCGTCTTTGGGACTTGAGATGCAGCTCCACGTCTAAGAGTAGACATGGAGAACTTAACATATGGTAAGTTGCAGTTTTTTATTTGCAAGACTCATGTAATAATCATTTTCTTGATCGGCTAATCATTAGCTTCTATTGGTGTTTTATTTAAAAAATTTATCATCTGTTTGCTTCTCTAGTTCAACAGCTGTCGTCAAAGGAGCACATGTTTCGTCTCTAGCAAAACGAGTTAGGAAGGGCAAGGTTAGTTGCTGATAGTCTACCATTTCTTCTCATTTTGCAAACTAAACCTTTCTTACAATAATTTTAATCTTGCAGGCTGCTTCCATGAGCATTACATCTGTTCTTTGTCTCAAGGATCAGGTTTCCATAGCCACTGCTGGGGCGGTGGATAGGTTAGTCCGAAGTATTATCTGTCAAAAATGATTTTTCTGAAGCTTTTAGCTGAATTAATTGATTTTACTGTGCAATTTTTTTTTCTTTCAGTGTTTTGAAGTTTTGGGATACTAGACATCTGAAAAGTTTTGTCACGATGACATATCCTCAGTCAACAGATAAGGTTGGTTGAACTGTGCGTTAAAGTGGTAGTGTCTATTTGTGTTTCTTTATACAGTCAGAAAGTTACTAATCAAGGGTCTTGGATAAATTGAACAATGATTATCAGACAAGGTATTTATATTTATATGCAGTACTTATGGTCTCAAAATGATCATTATAGCATCCTTAAAGTTAAAATGTAAATGTGGTAGAAAATGTCAGCCGTATTATGTTTTTCATGAAACCAGTATGTTTGGACAGTGTTGATTTTCTAACTGATTTTTATTAGATATTGGAAAGCTTGAAATGATATAGTTTTGAGTCTCTTGACAGTATTTTCCATTGTCATTTCAGGGAAGAGTACATGGTATATCTAGCTTGTCCCAAGATGACAGTGGACTTTTTCTTTCAGCCTCTTGCATAGATAACCGGTATCCTCATTTGATAGCGCATATGTTCTATTGTGAATCAAACAAAGGTTTAGGGGATGTAAAAGAAAACGTAATATATACTTTTTCATCCTTATTGCAGAATTTATCTGTATAACATCCTTCAACTCGAAAATGGGCCTTTAAGGTCTTTCTCTGGATGTCAAATAGATTCATTTTTTGTAAAGGTGAGAATCGAACCTGTATCCCCAAATTTTCTGCATTCACTTTTCGTCCTGACTCCTGAATTTTTTGCTCTCTGATGTGTGCAATTGCAGTCTGCAATTAGCCCTGATGCATCTCACATAGTCAGTGGTTCTAGTGATGGAAATGCCTATGTTTGGCAGGTTACATTTCTTAATTTTAATGAGCTATTTTTATTTTGTTGCTTATGTTGCAGTTGGGATATTATTTAACTGAACTTTCAAAAATCAGGTTAACAAGCCTCAAGAGGAACCTATTATTTTGAAAAGTCATGATGGGGAAGTTACATCAGTTGACTGGTAAATTGGAAATCTAGCGTGGTTTTAGATCTCTCTTCAAAATATATGGTTTTCTAACATTATTAATTTGACAGGTGCTGCTCTGAGGTTGGCAAATTAGCAACTTGTTCTGATGATTTCACAGTAAGCAAAACTAACTTAACTTGAGACCTTAGTTGAGTTCAAAACCAGATATTCTTGCATAGTATTTTCAATGTATTTCAGTTCAATACTGTCTATCAACTCATTCTTATAAACATGCCTCAAAATTGTTTCTTTCAGCATTGTAACTGTCTTCCCAATTTGCCATTTCTAGGTTCGGACTTGGAATAAAAGCAGTTATATCTGCAGAACAAAAACTCCATCTACCATCCGAAGAAGAGTAATGGCTATGCCTAGTACAGAATGCAAAATGCTTTTAAATCATGAAGAAATGTGCCCCAAGTCAGGAGACAATGTTTTTTTATCCAATGAATCACTGAACCACCCAATTAAATCAGCCACTCCAATCACACCACCTAAAATGAATACATATGAAGGCCATAAGAACAAGCTTTCCTCAGGATTTGATCAAACCACATCTTCTGAAAAAACTCCAGAGTCTGCTTTGAAGAGCCCCTCAACAGTTTTGAACCCTCCATCCTCCATAAAAAGAACTATCCGGGACTACTTTTTAGCATCTTCATGAATCTTGTAGGCTTATTAAACCCCAACTAAATTCTTTTGTTCAAGTAACAAGTTGTTGGACATTGTGCTCTTGTTATAGTAATGACATGAGGGCTCGGAATTTTCTTCAACCATGTTATTGGGTAAGGTTCTTTTTCCTGATGTTTACAAAAGCTTTGTTTATTTGTAATTGTAAACTTGTGGTAAGGCATTTGTTATGGTTTCTGCAGGTTATTTGAAATGTCAAGCGCATAAAAGGGTTCATTATAGTAACAATTCATGTGTTGAGTTTTTTACTCCTAAATTCAGGTCAAGCTGGGGAGGGTGAAAACATATAAAGTTTGGACTAATCTGCAATGTACAGAGAACTCGAATGCTTTTTAGGTGCAATGTACAGAGAGATGAAACTATTATGATTTTGAAAAAGTTTTGGATGCACGGGTTGGCACTTATCATTTCATGAGTAGGAATAGTATCATTTTATATGCTGCAGTTGCATATTTTTCTTAGTAGATAAAAGCGATCAGAGCAACAACTAGTCGATCCTTATTTTGAAATATCGACTTGTCTTTTAAAAATTGTGTCTGTTTCGAATTTTGTAATGTTAATGTTTAGTAAGATATATAATGACAAGTTTTACTTAAAGGGTGTATTAGATTGAGATTTTAAAGGATTTTAATGGATTGTTTTTGGACAAATTTTTTTGTTAGTATTCGATTAGAATTTTAATAGATTGAAAAAAAGTCACGTGATATTCGATTAGGATTTTAAAGGATAATTTTAGAATCCGTCCAAATCTGTTCGTATTCAATCAGGATTTTAAACAATGAAATCACAATCTCGTGGTATTCAAAAATCTAATGATTTTAATGGATTTTCTATTGGTGTGGACTTTGTGAGACTTTTTAGTGAAAAATGTAAATAGGATGTTTTTTTCACAATCTCACTCCAACCTTTAGGATTTTTTGAGATTCTTTTATTGTAGTGTTTTCTTCTTCCTTTGGTAGGTTGACTATTCGAAATTGGGTTTCGCCATGAGAGTTTCGTCAAAACTAAAAACAAATAGTATATTTTTGAGCGATTTTCATCACAAAATAACTCAGAAACAACAAACCAACGAGATTTTAATATAATCTATTTCAAAAATAACATATTTTTGAGCCATTTTTGAGAAGTTTAAAAAGTGATTTTTCAATCTATGGGTCACGGTTTTTCTTGGCACAAAAATGTGTTTTTTGTATTAAAAATAACATAAAACAGTGAATTAATAACAGGGGACTTTCGTATTATTTTCGTTTTACATCAATGAAACAATATCAATTTAAAGAAAGATTGAAACTTTCATAATATGAACCCTATATTTCGTAACAATACATTCATGAATGAAATTCCTTCACTATAAAAAATGATTTCAAACAATTTTTGTGTCAATAGATAACTAAAAGCTTGTTTCTCAAAAGCCCCAAAAGCAATTTAAAGTTTCAATGTATCGATTGAAAAAATTTGAGAAATTTTCTAAACTTTAATGTAATTAAATCCAAAATTTCAGATTTAAAATTTTCTTAATATTCAATGAAAATATGTATATGATATATGGTTAGAAAATTTCAATAATCCCAATGTTTTCAAAATCAATTGCAAAAAATTCCAAACGAAATTTTATCATGAACTTTAGGTTCCATATGCAAATTTAGAATTATTTTTATATGCATAGCTTTGATACCAAATGAAGATGATGATTTTCAATCCATTAGATATGTGAAAAGCTGTTGTTTAGTAATTTTGAATGTTTGTTAAAAATTATATTAATGTTTGGGGCAGGATATACTTACCACCAAATTTTTTTACCACCTTTACAACTAACCTAATCACCATTGATTTCCTTCAATCTAACAGTTATAATTTATTGAGAATTAATAAATATGACCTAATAATTTTCAATAAATTATAATCGTTAGATTGACGGAAATCAATGGTGATTAAGTTAGTTGTAAATGTTGTAACTTTTTTGTGGTAAGTATATCCTTCCCCATTATGTTTTACTGATTGAGAAAATTATATTTGGTTTTACTTTTTTTATTTATTTCTTTGTTATTTTTTTATGGAAAAGATTATACTTACAACCTATTTTTGTCTACAACATTTTACAATCATATCTTAACCGTTGATTTCCGTCAATCAATGGTTATTATTTTCGCAATTCAATCTTATTAATTAATATTTAATTTGCAATAAATGATAACCGTTGATTGACAGAAATCAACATTTAAGATATGGTTGTAAATATTGTAAACAAAAATAGGTTGTAAGTATAACCTTTCCCTTTTGTATTGAATCTTGTAATTTTGAATGTTTTAAAAATTCATATGGTTTTTTAAAATCTTCTAAATCCATATTGTCCTTTCAAATCTTATGAATTCTATTAAAATCCTTTACAATTCAATCCTATGAAATCTTAATTGTAAAAAAAGTCTTTTAAAAAAAGTCTATAAAGTCTCTCTAATTCTAAAATGTCATTTAAAATCTGTAAGATTTTTTATCTCAAAAAAGTCTTTTAAAATCCTAATCCAATACACCCTCTTTAAGGTCACGTAGATAGACACAATTTTCATCCGGACAAGGTTATGGAGAATTTTAACATGATATTTCCATCAAGGTTATTAAATTGTCACGGCTCATTTTTCTTCTTTCATTCTCTTCCCCTCCCCCCTGTGTAAGAAAAAAAATTATAAGTGAGATTTACAGATAATAAAAGAGAAAAAAAATAAAAATAGGATCTACTTTTATTTTGTGAGTGCTAGAACTTTATTTCCGATTATAAAATGAGAGAAATAGATTTTTTTTAAAACATGGTATCGTTGTTTTAGGGAATGGGTAGTTTCATACAGAAAGGTATATGTAAATGGGCTTTATTTGTCTCATTTAGCATGAAATTATTTATCTCCAGCAATAGACACAAATCAGCAGTGGATTCCATTAAAAAAAGAATAGAAAAAAATTTGAATAGATCCACATCATTTTTAAGTCTGCTGGAAAAAGCCTTGTATCCTTTTGAAGGAGAATAATAAATTCCTATGTAAATTTGTGTTTATTTTTTTTATAGGTATTTATAAATATTGATAATGCTTTCTTTATTTAATATAGATATAAATATGATTTTTCATTTATTTAAATAAGAGAGGATGCATTCCACTCATTTTAAGGGAATTTTTTTTGTATAACTCGGTACTCCCTTTTATTTAATAAGGAAATTGTTTGTCCACTTTAACACATTTTTTTTTTTTTGGTTTGATTTTCTCATGTTGCATAAGAATTAAATTCTTATGTTGTGACTCAACTAGTAGTGAGTTCCACATTTATTAAAAAAAAAAAATACCAAAAAAAAAAAAAAAACTTTGCACGCAAATGGAAATGTCACAACATAAGAATTGAATTCTCATTCAACATAAAAAAATATTTTTCCTTTTTTTTTATACTATATCTCAAAAACTTTCTCTTTTTGATAAAGATGGGGGAGTACTTAGCTTTTCTCCATTTTGAGATGTACGGCACTTTATGCAACTATATTTTCCCGCAGCACCAGTAAGGATGAAGGAACATCAGTCAAACATGGCCAAAGTAAGATGGTAAAAAATGCATTCTCTCACGTTTTATAATAATTTTGTAATTATTTATTTCAAAACTTTCTTTTTTCATCATTGATTTTTATTTGTATGATTATAATTCTTCTATATGATCATATCATATTAAATAAGATATGAAACGATCACTCACAAAATAGTAATAATAGGTAATCCTAACCGTATACTTTCCCACAATTGAAAGGAAAGGACCGTTGAAAAATAAATTGGCTCTATTTATATTTTTAAAGTTAATGATTTTCTTTACTTACATATTTATTTTCAAAAATATGATATATATATATATATATATATGACAAAATAATTTATAATGTAATTGCAGCTAAGATTTGGTGCAGTTATACTATATGGTAGTACATTGTGTATTTTCTCTATCTTCAGAAATTTAACTATACACCATGTAATACATAGTATAACTACACCAATTCTTAAATACAGTCACTACATCCGACAAACTTTATATACATATATTGGATTTCTCCACCTTTTCATTAATTACCCAATTAGTTCAATTGGCTTGAACTACAACGTCAGCTACCATTTGACATTTAAGATTTACATGATATGTAATTATATTTTAACAGTTACATAAAATATTTACATCTTGTAAAAAGATAAAATAAAATAAAATAATTCTAAAACAAAGTTAATCTCCAAAATAAACAAGTAAAAATATATTCACATTTCACTTAATTTAAAAAAATATATCGTAATCTTAATTATTCAAATCTAAGAATAAATATACAATCTCAATATCATGAGAGACTTGTTGTAATGGTGTTTTGAATCCTAATAGACACCGTAACATTATAGAAAATTACTGGTTAATGTACAGTTCTTGTTTAACAATGGCATAGCATCCAATAAGGCTGGTTGGTTCAACTATGAATTGTTCATGAAATGTACCCATTCTCTTGCTAGAAATATCAATTTCAAGATCCTTAAAGGTTGGCAAACCTTCTACTTGAATGCCATCTCCACATATCAGGAACTGATTCCCAACTATGAAGGACCCTGACACCCTGATTGCAACTCCATCTTCACCATGAGCACGGCATTGAAGCTTCTCAACCACATGCACCAACTTATCAGGAGGCCATTCACCAACTAATGTACTTCTAATACTTGATAGAGTTGTAAATATATTGTTTGGACCACCATGTTGTTTCCCAGAAAAACTGCAAAATATAAAAGGAATAATGTTAGTGTGATCTATAAGATGTTACATGTCCAGTTGTAAGGTATGAGACTTAGAGTCCCACATCAGAAACATGGGGGCGAACCGGAGCAGGTTCCTTCATGACTAAAAGGTCATGGGTTCGAATCCAGGAAATAGCCTATTTGCAATTATGCAAGGGTAAGGCTGCGTACAAAGATTTCCTCCACCCCACACTTGCTAGTCGGGTTTAACGGAGAGTGGTTTTGGAGTCCCACATCAGAAACATTAGGTTCAGGTGTGAGATTTATATTAACTTTGGACTCTCCTTTCTTACAAGCTAGCTTCTGGGGAGAGACTCTCCCAAGGTTCGTATTAGAGGCTTCAGAAGTTCACAAAAAGTCCTCATCCATTCTTGATATTCTAAACTGATTATCATAATCTACTCATTTTGACCCAGCTCTTTGATACAATGGGAATTCTAGAAATCAATTTTACTCTATAAGTTCCTTTTCAGATACATAGCACAGCTAATTAAGAACTACAATTGTTACCCCTATAGCAGCAAGTTTCTTGCAAGTGAATCATTTCTATTGTATTTATCATTGCAAAAAGAGAGTAAGCTGTTACCAATGATAAATTTTCTTGATGCCAGAATTAAAACATATAAAACAGTACACACCTGAAAATTGAGCTTTCGTTATATAAGCTCTTTGTATGTTGCCACAAATCATCAGGTCCATCAAATAGTAAGTAATAATGTATTGTCAACATCTGAAGAGAACAATACAAAGTAAAAACATTTTCTGATTAGTATAAATTGAAACCTCTGTAAACTCTTGACATAAAGCAGCTAACCACATCTCAAAACCAATATTCCATGTGAAACAAATGAATGAAATTCGAATTTTTTTCATTGTTATCACAAATGAATGCTTGGGGAAAAAAAAAAGAGCTTATCATATTATTTAGACATAGTTTACTTAAAATATATAATGCAGACTTAAGACCTAAAAGGGGCATGATAAAGTTTATCTCATATTCTCATTGAACCAACCCATGAAAAGTGCAAGTTAACACTCTTAACTAACAATCACTCGTTACTTTTATGTATTGTATTTACACAACAACTTAAGAAAATAAGCATGTCTGCTCAAATAATATAGAGATAAAAACTGGCAGCTACTTACATCTGCCAAGTCCTTCATTCTTTGTGTAGGATCAAAAACGCTACGAACAAATCCTGCTAAATCTACCTTGGCAGTTTCATGCTTGGTGATAAAGGGGTGCAAAAGCAGCTGCAGCAGGGCAACACCAAATAATCAAGTTCAAACTATCATGTCTATATCCAATGGAATGTCTAAAGACAAGATTGACATGGCAGGTTAGGAGTAGTGGTTGGAAGTCAGAAACAACACATTGTAAAGAAAACATTCTACTTTCTAACAAGCATGAATGCAAATAACAGAGAGTAAATAAAGGAAAAAAATGCATGGACACTAACACATTTATGCTTTAGGTAGCATGGTGGACAAAGCATTCAACAGCCACCAAATTGCAAACCACAGATGCTAGACACCATGCTCATTTCATATAAAGTTTTATCTCATTTCTCTCACCTGATCTGCTGTTGGCCTAATATCTGGATCCTTCTGTAAGCAAGCATCAACAAAGGAGCAGAACTCAGGTGAAAGCTTGTGCTTTGATGGTGATGGCGATGGATCATCCAGGATCTGCCACAAAACTAAGTATAGTTATTTGCAGACAGAAGTACATGTGAACAATCAGATTACTAGAATGGAATAGCCATTCATCCGTAACTGGGGTTACACATATTTCTCTATCACTGATCAAAGTAAGTGCTGTTAGCTAGTAGGCGATTCCATTAATTTACCATTTACTGGCAAAGAACACAAACGTTATATGTGAAAAGTCTCACATGATGACAGCAATGTAAACACTGTATTTTTAGCCTAATTTCAGTTTTTGCAATGACTGTAGGTAATTTTAAAGGAAACTTCTATGTTTATATATGTGCGTCTGTGCATAAGTTCCTGCATAACAGGAAGAAGTTTCCCATATCAATCGAGGGATATGCCTTAATCACTTTACAATATATAACTAGCTATGGTTAGATCAAAATGCCAGAGTTCAATGATTATATGAAGATGACATATAATTGACAATGTTGCCACTTGCCAGTGTGGTGTTGATACTTTGATATTCATCTCAGCCTAGACGTTGCTGAGTAATCAATGGAAATTGTCAAAAAAACACGGGAGAAGTTATTTTTAGTGCATTACATGCCTTTCTACATATCATATGAATTATCTCATTTAGCTGCAAATGCAATTTATGGCATTATTGCAACACCAAATTAGATAATCCTTTGTTTTATTTTGTGTGACTAATGCTATTATTTCAGATGACAAGTTTTTCTACAAGTGACAAGAAAAAGATGCTTAAAAAAACAAAAATTGGTCTGCAAGGATGTTCTTCTTAGACAACATGTAGCATTCAATAAAACAAAAGGAAACAAGTAATATCAATATGCATTAGCACACACCTGCAACATAAGATTGACAGGACCTTCATTAGCTGTATATGGGAATTCTCCTGTCCCGCACTCAAGGAGTGCAAGACCAAGGCTCCAAATATCGGCTGGATATGAATAGCTTTCATTTCGAATTCTCTCAGGTGACATGTATGTAACAGTTCCAACAAATGTAGCACACTGCAAAGTTACATTTGTTGATGAATGATCATGAACTGCACAGCTTGGTAATGTAAACATGACCAAACAATAAAATTGACATTTGCAAACAATTTCACAGAAGCAATAAGAAACAATAAACTAAAACTGATAGAGTATACTAACCATTGCCACTGAATTCTCTAAGCCAGCACTAATACCAAAATCAGTAATTTTTGGTTCCCCCTTGAGATTTACAAGTAAGTTAGCAGGCTTTATGTCTCTGTGAACTAAATGTCTGACTCCATGCAGATAGCTTAGACCCTTCCAAAAGATAAAAGGCCAAGTAGCATATCTCAGTGTTTTCTGTGATGAAAAGTTCAAAATGAAAATACAAGAGCATTTTCCTTACATGTAGGAGCTTCTGAAACATGGATGATAGAATCGGTTCAGGTATCCTTCTACGCTTTTTCAAGATATCTGCAAGTGATCCTCCGTCCATGTACTCCAAAGCTATGCTTATCTGTCCCGAGTCTGGAGTGTAAAATGCCCCATGAAATTCCACAAGACCCTGATAACAAGGTGCTTCACATAATGTCCTTATCTCAGTTAGGAGCTGCTGCCTTTTCTCCTAATTGGCACAAAAAAAGTACTACTGTTAGGAAATAGTTGATGATTCAGTATTGAGGGTAAGGGAGGCTGGTATCATTCAGTATTGCCATATTGCTCTTTTCTCCATTTAGAAGCAGACATTACCAACAGAGCCACATAAAAAAAAAGTGTCTAGCAACTCCAAAACTTTAAAAACAGAACAGATCAAAATTGTATCACCCAGCATCAAGAAAAAACCACATTTTAGAAAGCCAGATAACATATCTCGTGCATACTACATAGCATGGTTTAACGGCAATCATAAATAAGATGATACAGAACAAAAAGCAACACAAAAAAAGCACAGTTCTATGCTACATGAGATCCAAATTGAAATTGTAAATGGCGATTATAGAGAAATGCCAGAAGAATTAAGAGCAGGAAATACCTTCTCAAAGATATTGATCTTCTTTAATGCAAGAATCCTATGTGCTGGTATATGTATAGCTCTCTGCACAACACTACTGGCCCCACTACCTATTGCTCCAAATATTCTCATTTCATGAGAACCACATCTATATGTTTTCTCACTGTGATCAGTTTCATGTACAGACCGAGATGTGGACTTTTGCAAACCAAGCTCGTTGATATTGTACACACCATATGATCTACTCAACAAGTTTACAGTCCCACCATCCGATAGCTTCTCAATTGAATCAATCAAAAACCAAAAAAAAAATATCATATTAGACAAACCATTTATACTCATTTCAATTTTGTTACACTCTTCAGTCTTCAATGCCTAAAAGTTCAAAATTCAAACATAAAAGAGGAGAAAGAAAGAGAGAAATAGATGCTTACTGTGTAAGAATCACAAGGGTCCAAGGTTGAACTTGTTGAGAAGCCCTTCTCAGCATCAAACAAAGGTGCAAGCTTTTTTCTCAATTCCTCCAACCCAGCCATTGCTATGAGCATTTACATGAAAAAATTGAAATGGGGTGTCAAAAAGAAACAAAACCCAGATGCGTTATGAAACCAGGAGATCAGAGATCCTTTCTCCGCTTCAAGTTTAAGGTGAAAAGCAAGAGAAGAAGAACAAGAAGATAAGCTGATTCAATTTCAAATTTCAACGTGCAATTTAAGGTTTTTTGTGACTGTGTTTTGTTATTTGGGTGGTAAGGGGAAAAAAAAGGAAAAGATTGAGTTCGTGAAATTCAAGGTTTTGTTCTGACGTAACCTCGGATGAAAAGCAAAGTAGAAGTTACGGTAGTTGTGGATTAACTCAAAGGATGGGATTATTCGAGGAGTGAGAATTTTTCTTACTCCTGAAGCAGGTAAATTTTTCCCTTTCTTGCGTTGCGGTTATTCATATTTACTGTTCTTCTTGTCGCCAATCACCAAAGGCCAAGTGTATTGATATTTTTATCGATTTTAAAAGAGTTATGTCGTAGGAAAAGTGATTGTGTAATGTTATAGAAAATTGTATTACGTGCCGTAATTTCTTTTTTTCCTTTTTTCTTTAAAAAATGTGTGTCCCACAAAATATCGTGTGTGTAGGAAAGTTTGTTGTGTTATGTTAAATGACAAATACAAACCCCTATTTTTATCTACTCTTATTTTATTATTATTTTGTTTCCTCTTTTTATTTTATTTTTTGTTTAAAAGTGACATTGAAGTTCCAACTTCCAACCAATAATTTCGCACAAGTTTGGTACAAATTTTATTTTGGATTTGATGGGAAAGTGATGGTAGATATTGAAAAATATCACGTTTGGTTCAAGTTTTTGAAAATAAATACTAGGCAACTTGAGATGTGTTGATTTTTTTGGGTAGAAGTCACTGATACAAAATATCACTTGAGATGTAGTATTTTGAGATAACTGGGGAAGTGAAAAAAGAGGTGTGAAGTTCCTCCCGAATATAGATTTTGCAAATTTAAATAAATTTTTCCGATAATATTTCGGTCAACCAAACATCTTTTTTTAAATTCTTCTATCAAGCTGACTTTCCTCCTATTTCTTCGGTAATTATATTTCCCTAGTAAAAAAATGTCTCCTCTACCAAACGCCCCCACTACTCATCCACATCTATTGGCTTTCCTCTGTACTTTCTTTTCTATCTTTTTCAAAAAAAAAAAATCTCTGCCTTATTTACATTTTGACATCTTGTTTGAGAATTTTATTTTATTATTTTCTCCATATAAATAATTTTTGGAAAATATTAGTCTCCTTTTACATGAGGTAGCTTATCTCATTTTCTCTCACTTCGATTTTCGCACCTCACTTTTTTTTCTTTTTCTTTTTTCTTGTAATGGTGGGACCTACCTAGTTTCTCTCTACAACATAAGATACCTATCTTATGTAAAAAGAGATTAATAAAATCCATAATTTTTATATTAGGGATGAGAAAAAAAATATAAAATATCTCTAGCTAGCATAAGATTTATTTTTATTATTTAAATAGATTAATCGACTATAAAACGCAACACAGTCGATATTTTTAATTCAGTTATGAAGGATGAGTCAATCTGCATAACCGAACATGCTTTTAATCTCTACGAGCTTTTTTGGATGAGCTTTTTTTCTTCAAAAATTACTTTTTTTAAGAAAAAAAAAAGTACTTCTCGAAAAAAGTCCGTTTGGATGCCTGTTTTTAAAAAAAGCAGTAGTTATAAAAAAAGTCAAAAACTTACTTTTTTTCGGAAGTTAAAAATTTTAGCTTATAAAAAAAACAGAAGTCAAAAGTCAAATATTTTTTTCAAAAATCAAATATTTTTTTTAAAATTTAAATAACTATAACTTTTATAAAAAGTACTTTTAAAATAAAGAAATCATAAAAAAGACTTTTTTTTAAAGTAAATACAAACGGGCCATATGCCCGCTTTAGTAATAATAAATCCTGAAGGAAACTGACTTCTCAATTTTCACCTTTCTTTTAAACATTACTGAAACAAAAAAAACATGTGAGCCTTATTTGTTTGGAAAAAAAAAAAAGCTCAAAAATCAAAGTGAGAGCGAGAGAATTTTTTTTCTTCCATAAAGAGGTATAAAGCCCTTCTTTTATTATAAAAAGATACAACTATATACTAGCTGATGCTTTAAAAAAGTGACCTAATTTTTCATCTTCCTTACATGAAAGGAAGTAACAAATTCTTAAGTCAACCTTGAGAATATGAATTTGAAAGACTATGACATTAAGCGATGGTGGAGTCCAACGTATCCCCGGAATACCTCAACGGCCATAGTCCATTACAGCTTCACAATTATAATATTGCGAATTTTACTAAATTTTTTGAGGAGAGATTATATTTACAACCTATTTTCGTTTACAACCTCTTATAATTGTTGGGAAATTCGTTCCCTCAAACTCCAATGTCAAGCGGGTCCAGGGGAAGCCCGTGGCGGGGGTCACCACCAATGAGCTAAGGCTACACCAACCGTAGCAAGTGGATCCGACACCATGTCTCAACCCAAAACTTTAAGGCATTGGGTTCATGGGTCCTTTCACTTATATACTCTTCACTTAACTCATTACCAACCAATGTGAGACTCATCACACTTGAATATCTCAACAATCTCCCCCTCAAGTGTGAAACCCATCATTGGTATGCTCCCCCTCAACCGAGTACCCGAAGCGCAAAGTACTCGACCCGCCTCCTAGCCAATCACTAGGCTAGCCTCGAACCCAATCCGGCTCTGATACCACTGTTGGGAAAAATTAAGATGCAGAAATATAACTCACAATGTTTGAAGACTCCAATACTTAAAGAACAAAGACTTCCGCAGAAGTTGCCCTTAAGGGGGAGCATGATGTTGGGTCTCATACTTGAGGGGAAGATGTTGGAAGTATTCAAGTATGAGTTGTAATGAAGTACCACATTGGCTAGACCTAGACCAAGTGATGACTATATAAGTGCAAAAAGACCCATAAACCTACAGCCTTAAGGTTTTGGGTTAAAATGTGGTGTCGGCCCACTTATTGTGGTTTATCGCTTGGCCCATGGATGTATCCCTTGCAATGAGTTTTGGGCTCCCCGTACCATTCCCAACAGTATTGTTGAAATATTCAAGTGTGATGAGTCCCACATTGGTTGGTAATGAGTTAAGTGAAGAGTATATAAGTGAAAGGACCCATGAACCCAATGCCTTAAGGTTTTGGGTTGAGACATGGTGTCGGATTCACTTGCTACGGTTGGTGTAGCCTTAGCTCATTGGTGGTGGCCCCCGCCACGGGCTTCCCCTGGACCCGCTTGACATTGGAGTTTGAGGGAACGAATTTTCCAACAATAATCATATCTTAACCGTTAATTTCTGTCAATCAACGGTTATCATTTATTGCGAATTAATAATAAATTAATAAATTTTATTTACGAAAATTTTAACCGTTGATTGACGGAAATCAACAGTTCAGATATGAGTTGTAAGAGGTTGTAAACGAAAATAAGTTGTAAATATAACCTTCTCCAATTTTTAAAAACCAGAGTTCTATTTCAACGAATTCAATTTGAAATGGAGCTCAAGACTTTAATAAAATTCATATGATTAAAATGATGGATTGGAAAAGGTAATGCCCAAGCATGGAATTACTCGAGAGAACACAATGTGGGAAGGATATCCACAAGTCTATCAGTTAATATACCACCCACTTCCAAATAATTCATTTGCTGAAAATTCCTAACACCAACCCTAGATAACAAAATGGCCACAACATATTGCAATAAAACAATAAATTCCTAATTCCTTATTGTCCCATTCCATGTACATCACTCACACATTAGAATTATCAATAAAACAATAAATTCAAGGCTTTTCTTACATTGCTATTAAGTCATAAACACCTTCAAAATAAGTACACATCCTCAAGAAAAGTTATTTAAGCGGATTTTACAAAATACATATGATGACACTGAAATAAAAAAGAAAAAGAGCTGTTCACATCATTTAATTTAGGATCTTAATGTTATCTCCAATCATATCAACATATTAAGGTATGAAAATCATACATGACAATTTCCAGCAAAGAAATAGAGAACATGCAATAGTGCATTATCACCCTCAATTCACACTTTGAACTTACATTTGAGGGTCATTGACCGCCTTGTGTGCATGCATATGTCCTCCCAAGGCTTGTCCCGTGGGGGAGGATTTTTAGCAAAGAGAACATTGGTGAGCCCTATCGACATCGTGCTTGCTCATGTGTGCTTTGCCCTTGTGTCCCCCGAGTGCTTGGTGAGATACAAAATAGGGCATTTGTACTGAGTAGCAGTTTTACATGGAAAGACGATTCTACATGGAAAGATGATTCTACATGGAAGGATAAGTCTTCTGAGACAAGATCACGAACATTTTTCTTCAATCGTCCTTTCATGTAGAACTACTACCCAGTACAAATGCCCTATTTTTCAAAAGACTTTTTCATCTCACCAAGCACTTGGGGGTCACAAGGGCAAAGCACACAAGAGCAAGCACCATGCCGATAGGGCTCACCAATATTTCTCCTTGCCACAAATCCTTCCCCACGGGACAAACATTGGGAGGACATATGTGTGCGCACAAAGCGGTTAATGACCCTCAAATGTAAGTTCAAAGTGTGAGTTGAGGGTGATAATGCACTATTGCATGTTCTCTATTTCTTTTGCTGGAAATTGTCACGTATGACTTTCATACCTTAATATGTTGATATGATTGGAGATAACATGTTAAGATCCTAAATTAAATTATGTGAACAACTCTTGCTCTCTTATATTTTCAGTGTCATCATATCACAACAAGGAATATGCACTGATTGTTGGCAGGTTAATTTGCGAGCTGCTTGTTTCCTCAGCTGCCTTGAGGTTTTACCACTTTTATCCTCCTCAATCCTCATTAACATTAGAAGATCTTCTACGCTTCCTTTGAGAACTTGACATTGTGCCATCTTTTTTTTCTATCATTAGCATCCTGAGAAACATGGTAAATGAAAAACCATCTACTATCAGATTTACAAATCAGAAAAATGAAACCACCGAAAAATCAATTCCAGTTAAACCCGAATAGCGAGTATAGGGCGGAGGAAATCCTTGTACGTAGACTTACCCTTACATAATTGTAAAGATGCTGTTTTCTGAATTCGAACCGTGACCTTT